CAACAAAATTATTCGCACACCCTCCGTCACTATGTGATGGAGTGCGAAAAGATACATGAATTTAGAGACAATTCTATAACCAATGTTCCAACGATGTGTCAATATTTCATTCAAAATGATCTGCTACCAGAAATTTTAGCCAAATATCACCAGTTTGCTAACTGTAGGTAGTAACTAAGTGATTGTAACCTATCCACCTCTGCCCACTGGATGGGGGGCGGTGTGCAGGACAAACAAATTTTGACACTAGCTCTCGACATATGTCAGTTGCTTAATTTAGAACCTGTACTTGAGGTCAATCTCGAACCCATTGTTGATGTGACTACTTCTATTGAATTTTGTAACTAGCTCATCAAGATTGTAACTTGCTTAGCTAAATGAACTGTGGGGTTCAGTCCCTGAGCCCATTATGGGCCTCTGTAACCCTTTCCACTACCGCCCACAAGATGGGTATGGGGTGCATAATAAATGAACTAAACTAAAAAAAACAACTATGGAGGGAGGAAGGGAATTGTCAGGGAAAAGCGCCAAGTCACTACGAATATATTTATTTCGAACAAAAACAGACCATTACGAATATATTTATTTATTTAGAACAAAAACAGAGTAAAAACAGGTGAGCTACACGGATGAGGTGGGCGAGAGTTAAGTTGTTGGTATACATTAAGCCCCCACACTGTACACATCTAAGACATCTGCAATAAATTTTCAACTTACCTTATGGTCATTGCTAGATTGGCAGTCGTTTCCTCGGTGCCTATTGCCATCAACCCGCTGGGATGCCTCTTGCATGTGTTAACAGCAAAAATTAATATATACCGCACTTTGTTAACTATAACATTTCCAGATTTCAGAACAGTCGTAAATTGTTCAGAGAAAAAATAATAAGAGGGAGTCTAAAGTGATATTATCAAAGGCCTAAGATATACCGGCGAGTGGTGTGATACATGTCACTCAGACCCTAGAGACAAGCTAGTGAGGAGTGGATGAGGAGCGGCCGACCGCCTCCCGACCCTCCACAGCCATCACTGGTTTGCCTCTCGCACTACTCCCCACCTCATACTCTCTTTACCTAGGTTTCAAACAAATAAATATGCTTTATATATAAATATAACAAATATTCACTGCTAATTATAATTTAAACTGTAATTATACTCATAAAATATGCTTTAACATAAATAGTGAAAGTAGGATAATTTTAGCCCTGTAGTCCAGATGTCCAGGTGTACAAGAATGTAACAACTCTTGTATATATCTCAAAAAAAAGAAAAAGATGTACATTCATATTTCTCCGGAAAGTCTGCCTTCAGAAGCCGGACGCAATACCCCTCCCAACGACTCGCAATAGCAGGATTAATAAGCGCACGAGGACGCGCCAACATATCCGGAAATCCAGTCATAAATGAATGGGAACCCACACAATATCTGGGCACACAGGGAGCGTCAACACCCGTTACTAGGATTTCTAGTAGGAGTTCTAGTAGTATTTCTAATAGGATTTCTAGGGAATTCCTAGTAGGATTTCTAGGGAATTCCTAGTAGGATTTCTAATAATTGGCATATTTTCGGAATTTCAAACTGCGAATACGTGCAAAGAGCCAGAATTTGGCTCGAAAATATGGCTCAGGTATCGCATTTGGGATGTTTGGGATATTTTGAAAACTTCAGGGGGGTTTGGGCAAAATGTGACCCACCGCCGCTTTCAGTAATTGGCATATTTTAGGTATAAAAAGTCGGAATTTCAAACTGCGAATACGTGCAGAGAGCCAGAATTTGGCTCCAAAATATGGCTCAGGTATCGGATTTGTGATGTTTGGGATATTTTGAAACTTGCAGGAGGGTTTGGGCAAAATGTGACCCACAGCCGCTTTCAGTAATTGCCATATTTTCGATATAAAAAGTAGGAATTTCAAACTGCGAATACGTGCAGAGAGCCAGAATTAGGCTACAAAATATAGCTCAGGTATCAACCCGTTCTCGCACTTTCTTACTGTCAATATTGACTTATTAAATACGTGCATATGTGACATACTAAACATACTAGTTTACCTTGAAAAGCTTCATAGAAAACACCGACCTTACCTAACCTTCTTAGTATGTTAAGATAAGCATCTTATTGCTTCGTAATTACAATTATTACTTAACCTATACCTATAATAGGTTAAGTAATAATTGTAATTACGAAGCAATCAGATGCTTATCTTAACATACTAAGAAGGTTAGGTAAGGTCGGTGTTTTCTATGAAGCTTTTCAAGGTAAACTAGTATGTTAAGTATGTCATATATGCACGTATTTAATAAGACAATATTGACTATACGAAAGTGCGAGAACGGGTTGTCCAGGGAGTCCCCAAGAACACCTGCAACACCAAAGACACCTCACACCACTCAAGTGTGCGGGTCTGACAAAACCCCATGCCAAGCTCCCAGAGACAGAAAAGGGCAGTTTGCCAACCAGGAAGACTCCAGACCCTCGTACCATGCCCAATACGGGGAAGAACCGAACTCAAAATGAAGACGGATCCATTATAGAAGCGTAAACTGGGGCAGGAGGTAAGCTCCAAGGGCCTCCCGATCATCTGCCGGGGAACTCCAAGAGGAAGGCAACCTTCGGAAGAACGTATCCGAGAAACCCAAAGGCACCCAGAAACGAACTCGAGGGAGAGCCGCACCCAACTAAAATTCATACATGGACGGAGGATACAAAAAAAACCCGGCCATGAAACAATAAACCCTGCCCCGAAGACACAACGGCCCAGGCAGGATCAAAAGGAGCCCAAGTACTCCAAGTGAACTTCCCCCTAGCCCGGGGAACCCCTGACACAAGGCCCCATCGCAGAACCCCTCATCCACGCTCACTACCCTTGAAGAAAAGGTAGAGTCCTGGGAAAAAGCTTCAAAGGAGCATGCTGGGCCGACTCCGAAGCCTCGGCGGGGAAATCGGGCCCAACAACCTCAATCCCCGAATCGGAAGGGGCACTCCCCAAAGCTACCCGAGCCTCATCCCAAGTTAAACCCTGCCCCGACTCCAAAACCCTCAGACGTTTGGGAGCTGGAAGCAAGGGGGAGGAAGGAGCAGGGCGAACCACACCCACCTTTGAAGGAAGCAAGGGCGCAGACAGAACCACGGTTGAAATAACCAAGGACAGAGGTAGGATGGGTGATCGTCCCCGCGAGGCAGGGGCAATGAATAACCATCAGCATTGCACAAGGTGAGACAGGGCTCGGAATACGCATCCTGGTACCCCCAAGCCCAACGGGGTTTTCCAGATCCCGCAGAGTACGTTAACCCTACTGGAAGCCCAGGCATTGGGGTTAGCTAAGCTGGTAAACCCGGTCCGTCTAATTACCACAAGCTACACAAGCTTCAGAAAGCTTCCTGGCAATACGTTAGTAATGAATAAATATGATATATTTACTCATTATAATGTTGGTGCTGAATGTACAACACGAAAAAACATAATTTTAATCTGAAAAAAGTATCTTTTTATAAAGAAATTAGGCGAAAATAAAAAGCTGGTGACGCCAAATCAAGTCGACGATCCAAGCGTCGGTTAGGTTAGGTTAGGTTTGGTTTGGTTAAATTAGGTTAGGTTAGGTTAGGATAGGTTAGGTTAGGTTAGGTTAGGTCAGCCTAACCTAACATATCATATTTATTCATTACTAACGTATTGCCAGGAAGCTTTGTGAAGCTTGTGTAGCTTGTGGTAGCTTGTGGTAATTAGACGGACCCGGTAAACCCTGTCTGTTGCAAGCAAACTGACCACCAGAAGTTGCTGTGAAACCTTGGGGCAATAGAGGAGGCCCACCATCACAGCCTAGGCAGACCACCTCGGCCAAAGTCAAGCGAATACGCTAAAAACAAAAAACGAAGCAACACAAACCGGTTGCCAGAGAATTGGCAGCCGCTGCGTGTATACACGCTGTGCCGGTCGCAGTGCGCCCCACCCAGCAAAATCCTACTTCCTACCCGGGGAAAGACGGGAAGCCCAAGACCCCCGACATACCCCAAGGGCGAGAACATCGCAATGCGACGAAGCCCTCTAACAAGAGCGAGACCCGAATGTCCCAGGAAAGATAACCCCAAAGCGTAAGGGAAGTACTTACCGGGCACCTAAGGATGGTATCCCTAGGCGCATGCAGCTCAACATACTGAAAACACTTGGCCAACCACACCACACAAAGCTGGCAAAGCCACAAATGCAAAATCCAGTCAGAAAAACGAGGCCAGAGGAGACTTATTGATACCAGGCACATCAGTCATGAACTGGGGTGGTGGGCTACTTGAGAGGGCACCCCCTACCCCCCTTTTGTGGTAGGGAGGGCACTAAAGAGCAGGCGCAGTACTAGTCGGATGACTATTTGCTTGTTTCTTGTCTTTTTTTTTTTTTTTTTTTTGCTCTGTTCGAACGTAGGTTGAAATTTTTACTAGTTGGGGGTTTGTATTGGTTCGCCTACCTTTCTGGGTGCCCTCCCTGGTCGATGGCAGACATGACATACTCTACATTTAGAGTACTGTACTCATAATGGCAATTGCTCCCTGTGCTTGTCTGAGGGAATTAGGTTCTGGCTCGTGGTCCCCACTAGGTACAAACTCCCACGACTGATGACACCAAACTAATATGGCACAATGTCGGTTTATTTAGCTTCAGGAAGCCGACGAGGCTTCCCACAGAAATCAATGGCAATAGTGTGGGGTATTTTTTTTTAGGTAAATGGGCCTAAATAGTCATTAAGTTTTGGTATTGTTCCAACATTGTGAATAACCAAACAAACCAATCATTGCTAGATAACCATTTTTTTTTTTTTACAATCTGTAATAACTACAATAACAAGTACAGTTCAAGAAATCATATTTATTGTAAACATAGTTTAATGTTGCATTAAGTGATATTGCCCAGACCTAAAGATGTGGGTCGTGTGATATCACTGTTGCAATTCTTCCATAGCATTTGACTTGCAGATGGTTGGAGCTCTCGTAATAAATAATAACAATAGTATATATTTAAATTTCTTTATTAAAATGCTAAGTACAAAATACAAGGCTGGCAACTGTGCCAAACAAAACCGAAACGAGATCATTAGAACTAATCTACACAGGAAAAAATTTGATAATTTTTTCAATCACACTTTGATTTTATTTACAAAAAAAAATCAATCTAAAATAGATTTTGTAATAAAAAAAGATTTGTAACATAATTACAGATTAAGAAAGTGAGAATAGTTTTATTAATAAAAAGAAATATTCACAAAAGGGTAAAGACTTTTGACAAAGAAGTTCCTTCCAAACATGCATTCAAATTTTATTCAGAAACAGCCTAAAACAACTGCTCAGTAAAAGTAAAATTAGTCCTTGTTGTATAACAAAGAATATATTGAAGCAATTGTTTAACCTGCTTCAGCTTTTTCTCTAGATTATACTAAGACTTTGGTTGACAGTTGTGCCACTATAACACACGATTTGCATGTATGCCCCAGGCTACCATAGATCATCCTCTTTACAAAACTAATAAATAAAAGGTGCTCAGCAAATTTTGGTAGATGAGGGCATGCAACATCTTAAATGTTTTCAGGCTACTAATTGCTGCCAAGGGCATTAATATGATGCAGCCAAAATGATACTAACATTCTTGTTTATGCATTTTAGTCATAATTCATGCTTTTTAAATATGCTGAATACAAAGTTTCATAGAGAGTTTTACATGTAATTATATCACCATGTCCTCTTACAAAGGATGTCGCATTTCTCTCGTATGTGTTACATTAGGTGAAAAATTGTCGTACTAGAAAATGGAAGCGGCTCGTGAAAGTGACCTACTGTACCTTTTCTGTTTTGATATATTTCTCTGATAGGTTAGTAGACGACACTTTAATTTGACCATTTTCTTGACATTGGGAAACCAAATGAGGACAGGCTGATTATGCAGCTTGTATTGAATTGCATACAAATGCTGAAAACTGCACTTTGTATGGAGGGAACCTGGGTTCCCTCTCATATACAGAGGCAGGATACTGGTACTTACCATGGAATAGGTATAACAGGAACTATCAGAATTCTGAACAAGCACATTACTTTTAAAGCATCTATTCTTGAGAAAGAATATTGTTTAAATAATTTAAGTGGTTGGACGTTGATAATGGCCATGCAGCAAGGACAGCTGTATGGGCCTTCGATTCCCTAGCTGTCACTTAGCATCAACATGAAAAAGCTTTTGGTGTTACATGGAAAGCAAAGAAAAAAATAATTACTGGAAAGACAATTAAATGGCTAAACCTTGTTGTAAACATTTTCAGCATTTGGTTTAAACATACTGTACACTTATTATACTTATGACGAAATGTGCACAACATTATACATGAGTATCAGGGTGTTTGAGTGTATAAATATAGTTTGTTGAAATCAAATCTACAAATCATCACTTTCCTTCATTCAGGACATTGTGGCAGAGGAATGTGTAAATGTTCCATTATGTTAGCATCCTAAACTACGACTATAGATGGATACATATTGCCACTATACACGTGAAACAAAACTCACTCACATGGGATAACAAGTAAATTTTATTCAATATATTGATTAAGCCTCGCGCGTTACATTTACTGATAAAAACACGGGAATCCATTCTGATATATAATGGATAAAGCTAAATGAGATGCTGTTTAATAATTAAGAACCTCAGAGGTGTGTTTCAGAGTTTAAAGCTGCTAAAAGTTTTTTGTTGTTTATTCCAGAATCTATAATTGACTGAGGATTAGCATTTAAGTCTTTATTGTTAATTGTGTTTCCAAAGCCATTCTGAGTATTAATGTTTCCATTGTGTTGCTGCTGATGGGTGGACTTCTCAGCTGCTGCAATAGTGGCAAACAGTTGCTTGAGGGTCAGGTTATTAGCGACCACGTCCGGGATACTCTCCAAAGTCTGCAACAGGGAAATCATCTGAATTCATAAATAGTTTACTTTATATTATAAAGTTCAATAATTTAAATTCAGGCAGATTATCAAAGGTAAATTAGTCCAAAATAACCCTTCATGTTTTATTTTACTTATACATGCAAGAGCCCTTACATTCTTGTAAAGCCCCTAGCACCCATAGCGTTTCGGGCAAGTCCTTAATCCTAATTTTCCCCGGAATCTGACCTGCCAAATCTTTTAACAACCCGGTACCCACTTTACTGTCAAGTACACAGAGGCTACAGTTAAGGATTGGCGCCCAATAAATCCTCCCCAGCCAGGATACGAACCCAAGCCAAAGCGCTCGCGAAATGCCAGGCGAGTATCTTACCACTACGGCACTGGGACTGCAAAGTTTAAATAATGGCCATATGAACATGCAAATTTTAAAGCAAAGGCATTATAATTTCTTGTATAATTAAAATGAACTAAACTAATTTTAAAATTAGATATATAGAAATGGTGTTAGACATGATTTGGAGAACTATATTTTATCCTCATTAATTCTTAGATATGTACAATATTTACATAGCATATTTTTATGACAAATATTATTTATATGTACACAAAAATCTTTATGTATTATTTATGCTTAAATAGGCACATAGTAAATTAAATAATGAATGTTTGTAACTTTGACCATTTTTTACTTTTAGCAGTGGCTATGGAGAAGTGCTCATTCCGGCCTATGCATATATAAAAAAAAAAAAAAAAAAAAATATGCAAAATGTAAGATAAACAAGAAGATAAGTGAATATTTATTGTTTCACTGGGTAGAGACGCTCTGAAAGGGTGTGGTGGGTGTGTCTAGAGCTAGTCACCAGTCGGTATCAGACTGCTGATGCTGCCCGTGTTATCCTTGGATGTTTCACTAATTGTTTATCACTTTTTTTTCATTTACAAGAATGTGTGTGCTGAATAACTTGATAAATCACTTAATTCACATCACACAATTTTTTCAATAACACATGTTTCAATTGATGATTGGTTTACCTGGCATACTCCATTACAACCAGAGAGAGTAGTGTTGGGCTCTGAGCGATGACATATGGCCTAATTGACACCATATGAGCGAGAGTATAGATTGAAAGAATGGTGTAATTCACCAATGTGACACACACATGATGGCAGGATCCTCCTAGTACACAATCACGAAATAGTAGCAGGATTTTTTCATGGGTCAAGGTAAACTCCATTATATCTACAGAGATATTATATCCACATTTGCATCATACATGCAAAACCCAGATAATAGTTTAAATCGTTGTATGATGATAACTACATTACCCCATGAATCGACGTATGATGATAACTGCTGTCTAAGGGTTAATATATTTTTTAATGCCTCGTTTTATTACCATGAATAATAGTTTTCAAATTGTTTCAATAAGCCTATTCATAATATTGGTTAATTTTCTAAGTATAAAAGTAAATAAAAATGCAAAAAAGCTTTTAGCCTTATTTCAATCCAATAAAAGAATGGAGGGCCGAGAGTCATGCACCACAGCCGAAGGGTTAACAATTCTTGAAATACATAAACACAGAAAAGTGGCTGTAATGAAAACCTTCACAGAGAAGCAGTTCAGACAGACAACCCAAGAGCATCCCATGGCACCAGGAGTGGGAATGTATGTACAAAGTCTTATGGCATCTTTACCATGCAATCCTAATATCAGATATGTAAAGCATTATGATAATGATAAATTAAGTTTAATTTAACCGACTTATTTCATAATTTCACTGGAATGAATTTTCAAAACCAATGTTTAATTTCTATAGAGCATTCCGTGTACAAAAAGTATCAAGTTCTACTAAGAAAGCCAAGCCAACAACACTACCTGAAGCAGCAGGTGGCTCCACTAACCTGGGAACTCTGGAGTTGTATGGTCTTATCTTATGGAAAGTCTTTGGCAGAGTTTTCCCATGTGGCTCAACTGCCTGTGTTTGTGAGTGATGGAGTGGTTCACAAGTTGAGCAAGTGTTGTTATCTTCTAAAGAATAAACTCTACTTTTATTCTGTGTAGATTCAATGTGTTTAACTAACTGTACAGAAATGCATTAATCTATGAACAAGTTTAATATTGATTACAATCGAGACAAATTCCTACCAAAAAAAGAGCAAATAAATAAAGGCAGTGTTGGCTGAAGGTGAAGACGGACAGTATTTTGCTGTGAGTGCTCATAAATTAACCAGGTAACATGACAAAATTAGTTGTAATAATTTTTTTTTTTTTTTTTTTTTTTTTTTTTAAAGATATATACAAGAGTTGTTACATTCTTGTACAGCCACTAGTACGCGTAGCGTTTCGGGAAGGTCCCTGGAATACGATCCCCGCCGCGAAGAATCGTTTTTACAACCAAGTACCCATTTCACTGTTGAGTTAAACAGAGGCTACAGTTAAGGATTTGCGCCCAGTACATCCTCCCCGGCCAGGATACGAACCCATGACAAAGCACTCGCGGAACGCCAGGCAAGTGTCTTACCACGGAGACTGGTAATGACTTTAAAATGACATTTTAAACACCATCATTATGTTGGGATTTCAAGTGGTAGAAGGACTAATACAAATTCTTTATCTTTAGAATTCTGCATTGATATATAAATGTTTATCTAGATCTGCTGATGCTTTATGGTCTCTACATGACCTCCCCTTTCTTGCCAGGAGTGCTAAATGAAGAAAACAAGATATTTAAATTATTTGTGAAAAGTGACAAAAGCATTTGAAACACTGAAGAACCATGCATGTGAAGCAATCGCCACTTGCTTGCACTTTTGCCACACAATCAAAATGCATGGAAAAGTGCAGAAGAATTGCCTTAGCAAGCACACACAACTCAGGAAGAGGAAAAATATAGGAAAAAATAAAAGCAAGGAACAAGAAAACAATTGTTGACAGTTTTAAACATTTCGATTAAATACATTCAATTCACCTGGGCTCTAGGAGACTCGAATCATGGACCCCCCACATGTGAGGCCAAAGCTCTATTGATAGAGCTGCCTCACACACGTGGGGTCTGTGGTTCGAGTCTCCTTGAGCCCAGATGGATGAAATGCTCATTTCCACAGAAGTGTAAATGACAATTTAATTAAATACATATTATCCATACCTTTAAAACGTGGTCAACGGTAGTTGTAAGTCGGCGATTACTTCGATGAGCTTCAACTTGAGCCTCATGGATGGATTTCAAATCGTGTGAATGTCGTTCACTGAGCTCACTAATTCGTCTGTCACGCTCAATTACACTCTGACGTAGAGACGTAACCTTTGGGAAAAATATGCTTAAATAGAACTTTATATTTTTGCATTAGAATATCAAAATGTATAGTACACACAGTGAGTACTCTAGTCTTCAGAGTAAACACGGCTAATTTGATAGTCTTGGAATGTTTAGTGAATGAAAGTTGTCTTATGACAAAACCATCTTTTGCCTGAATCAAATGATGAATCTTTAAAAATGTTCAGTATTGTATCTGATTTTTTACTATAAATTTATTTTACTTTACCACTGCTGACTTTCATATTGTTGAGAACATTTTACTTATTTACAACACACAAGTCAACTATGCCAGTGCTACAATTAAACTATCATCATCCACAAAGTACTGCCTTATTGTGTTCTTTAGACCTCGGCAACACACACATGCTTTGCATATCCCATCTTCCTTTTACTAATATTTCCTCCTCCATTGATTATGATAATATTTAAATGGTAAATGCTAGAACTCAAACTTCATCTCTGGACTAAAATATAAATTAAATTCTTGTAAATAACACAAATAATATTTAAAAACTTATACAATACTGTAGTTGCCTACCATAAATACATATTTATTAAAAACACTGATGTGACTAAACTAGACATTTTTAAGAACATTTGTACAGCCATTTTAAATAACTCAATATTATTACTATATATATATATTCATAACACTGAAATATAGCTTTCTCATTATTTTTTTATGCAGTAACAGACCTTATCATTTAGAGATGTAATTTGAAGCTGGTGAGCAGCCTCTGAGACATGGTTAGGTGGAGCAGGGCCATGAGCGGCAGACAGTGATGCAAGGCAATCTTCTAATTGCTTTTCCTTCTCGGTGTGCAGAACCTCAAGGTGACGTATCGTTGCTCCTAGTCGCTCAGTTTCATCTTGTAATTTCTGTTGGAGAGAAGTTATATTAGTCAAAGGCTAAAAAGTAAAATTTTAAATTTCAAATAAACTAAAGTATGCATATTTCAATGTTGTGATATCACCAACTGCTTTCTTTACTTTAGCATTTCAGGACACCAGTTAGAAAAAATCAGACGAGTAATTACCTAAGTGTAGTTACAGGATGAGAGCTACACTCATGGTGACCTGTTTTCTCAGCACAGTCATATAACTCGTTCAAACTACTGACGGTTTTGGCCTCCACCACCTTCTCACTTAACTTGTTCCGTCTACCACCCTGTTTGCAAAAGTGAATTTTCTTATATTTCTTCAGCAGCTTTGTTTAGTTAGTTTAAGTGTATGTCTTCTTCTTCTTGAAGTACCAGGTCCCAGGAATTCTTTCTTATCAATTTTGTTGATTCCCGTTACTATTTTGTATGTAGTAATCATATCGACTTTTTTTTTTTTTTTTACATCATCTAGTTTTGGCATATTTAAACCCTCTAACCTCTCCGTGTCGCTCTTGTCTTTCAGTTCCGGGAGCATTATTTACATTATTTATTCCGGGAGGTATTTACTAGTTGCATGTCTTCGCACCTTTTCCAGTTTGTTGATGTGCTTCTTAAGATATGGGCACCATACAACCGCTTCATATTCCAGCTTTGGTCTAACAAAAGTCGTGAACAATTTCTTTAAATACATGGATGGTGAAATGCTAAACGCAATTCTGAAACTGGAAAGTGTCACATAGGCTCCTCGGACAATGTTATTTATGTGGTCCTCAGGTGATAGTTTTCTATCTAGAACAACCCCTAGAGAACTTTCTTTATCAGAATTTGTTAAAAGCTTTTTCACATAATATGTAAGTTGTGTATGATCTATTTTCTCTTATTTCACATTCCGTAACATGGCATTTATTCAATTAAATTAAATTTGCCAAGTGGTGCTCCAAATACTTTTGTCAAAAAAAAAAAAAAAAAAAAAAAAAAAAAAAAAAAAAAATGACACTTGTCTTTCTTATCTTCCCCAATATCTTAGCATCAGCAAACATGTTCATATAATTCTGTATTCCTTCTGGTAGGTCATTTATGTAGGCAATGAACATTACTGGTGCAGGAACTGAACCCTGTGGTACTCCACTTGTGACATTTCTCCAGTCTGATACATTGCCTCTGATTACTGCTCAAATTTTTCTGTCAGAAAATTTTTCATCCTTGTTAGAAGCTTTCCTGACACTCTTCCAGTATGTTCCAGTTTCCAAAACAACAACTTAGTGAAACTGTTGAAAGCCTTTTTCTGGGGGGAACCCCGTCGGCTCCCTAAAGCTAACCGAACTGATATGTGCTATATTAGTTTGGGATCATCAGTCACGCCAGAACCTGGTTCCCTCAGAGAGGTGCAGGGAGCAATGGTGTACATTATATAACCCACAACCACACTACTCCATTGAGAAAACCCCAAAACCACTACTCTATTGGGAACAACCCAAAACCACTCTACACTTAAAGTACGTTATGTCATATTCCGCCATCGACCGGGGTGGGCACCCAGAAAGATAGGCGAGCTAATACAAACAGCTAGCCAGTAAAATGTGACCAACAGCCCAAAAATGCAAAGAAACTCCTACTGAACGAAATTAAACAGAAAATAACCAAAACTGGCAACCATGTCTTCAATTAGTACACCTGCTTGTTAGCATATCCTTCCCCATTGTAGGGGGAGAGAGAAAGCCTACTCTGGCTAGCTGGCTACTTGCCAGCTCAGTTCATGTCTGATGTGCATGGTGGTCGGAAGTTATCTCTAGTCTCACTTTCCTATCTAGATTTTGCCTTGTGTGGCTGTGCTAGTTGTGTGTGTGGTGTTGTGGCCAGGTGTTCTTTGTACTTGGAGCTGCATGTGCCCTGGGTACCCTTCCCAGGGTGCTCCGTAAGTACTACCTTTGCAGATCCGGGTTACTTCCCTGGGTGTTAGGGACTCGCTCCACATTTGAGGGCTTTGTTGTTTGACGTTGTTTTCTTGCCCTTGGGGTACATTGGGGGTCTTGGGCTTTCCATCTTACCCCAGGTTGGGGTGTATGCTTCCTGCTTCCGGCTCTAAACCATCTGAGGGTTTCAGAGTCAGCGCAGGGTTTTGATTGGGACGAGGCTAGGGTGGCATTGGGGCTACCACTTCCGATTTGGGTGCGGAGGTGGTTGACCCCGTTCTTCCCTCCAGGGTTTCCAGTTCATCCCAGCCACCCAACTTGGGCTGGACGGTAGAGAGACTGTCTCACTTCATGCAGGTCTGCATTCAATCCCCAACCATCCAAGTGATTGGGCACCATTCCTCCTCCGTCCCATCCCCAAATCCTTATCCCTTCCAAGTGCTGTATAGTTATAATGGCTTGGCACTTTCCCCTCATAGTTCCCTTCCCTTCCCAGCCACATTCTCGGAAGCCTTTCCCTTGGACTGTCTTTTCTTCAGAGGTGGTGGCCATTGAAGAGGGCTCTGCCCCGGGGTCTGTGTCGGGGAAACCCGCCTGGAGTGCTTGGGCTCCTTTTGCCCGTTTGGGCCCTTGTGCACTCTGGGCAGGGGTTGTTACTGCAGGGGAGGAGGTTTTCGTACCCTCCCTTATGCACTGGTTTTACCATATTTGCCAGCATGACTCCACACCCCCGGGTCGGGTGCATCCATCTTCTGCATGGATGTTTATATTTTGGCTGCCATTTTGCTCTGTGTGCGTTGCCACGTCTGGCCGCCAGGGCAGCGCTACTAGTCACCCAGCGTCTTTCCAACTATGTTGTTACCCGTTGCATATAGCGGCTGGCCGTTTGCTCCTTTTTTGGGGCGTTTCTTGATTAGTTCATGCACTCTTGTTCTTACTGATGACTTACTATTGATTTAAATAAGGATGTTTAAAACATCTTTGTTATGCCAGCACAGAATGTCACCCTGTCCTGACAAAATGATCCCATCCCAGGGTACCCTCGGTGATCTTTCCTTAGGAAGTTCATGAAAGTGAACTAACTCAAACAAATCTGGAAAATATCCATAACAATGTAAGTACAATATTACCTTGACTTTTATCTCATAATCAGCTTGGAAAAATTTGTTAAGGTTCTGATTTGCATTTTCCAAATCGCGTTTAGTAGCCATCAGATCCCGCTTGGCTCTCGTCTCTGAGCGACTTAGGTTCTCGTAATCAGAATGTTGCTGGTCAATAACTTGCTGCTGAGACCGAATCTGGTTGCAAAGGCGATCACTGCAATATTAAAGACATGTTATGCATTTTCTAAGAATTATTACACAATAACAAATCTTCATTAAATGAAACTACAGTATGCAATAAAACAATTGCTTTTAACCCTTTATAGATTTTCTTTGAAATTGACTTTTTCAAACTTATGAAAAGAAGTATACGATAGAATTTTATCTGATAACATAAGTTACAAAAAATCTCTTAAATATACATAATTATACAAAATTCACAAATCTACTTAGCTCTTAATATTCTCTATTTCATTTTATTTCCTATAACTCTTTGTAATGCTGTACAAAGACTCTCATATTATGAGAGTTATAAAATAGTGTGTGATGCTTTGGATGAGATGCCAAGTGTTGTGATGCTTATTGACTAACATTTTTAAATGTGTCTAACAAATGTAAATGGATGGATCATGTTTTAATATCTCTCTTCATTTTGTCACATACTGTACTACTCTCCTAGCTTCTCTGGGCAAATCATCCCCTATCAGATGAAATGTATCTAGATTTCCCTACTCACTTTTCATCTTCAATCTCTGCGAGGCGATTATCAGTATCATTCTTCAGCACACAACACACTTTAAGGAATCGTGTAAGAAGAATATCTACTTCTGTCACTTGATCTGTTAGAGAAACATTGCTGCCGCCTGATCCACTATTGCCATCATGCTCTACAACTTCATAACTTTCGGAACCTTCGGGAGAATTCCTTCCTTCAATTTCCTACACAAGGGTAAAGACATAATAGGTTGCATGAAAATTTATATACCTTCTCACCTTTCATATAAAATATACAAGTATCATAGGTATTTGTGATTACTACATATCTCAATCATTTATATAAAATTCATATTTTGCATGGTAAAACTGTTTTCATATATAAATATATACCTGTTTAGTGCCATTACATGGCAATATACCCTCTGATTGAGTCATCTTAACTTTTGGCCCCAATCTCATGGCATTGATTAGAGCAGTTATAAATGAAGCCGTTTTTCGAGGAGAAGGTGTTCTAGCTGAAACTTTGAATGGGGATTTGTGCTCCGGTGTTCCATTAGTAGAGGATGCACTACTATCAGACTCACTTGGTGTTACAATCATCTGTAAAAGAAGTGTCCACACTTATACAAAACTTGCAATGGAAAACACTATTCAAATATTTATAGGTAATGTGATATTTTGCTTTAGACTACAAATGTCAATCTTTTGGATCTTCTATTAAAAAACAGCAAGAAAATAATGATCAGAGTCTGATATGTCAAGATGAAAATAGCTGGACAGCTTTCTGTGAATGATACAGTATTTAAGACTAGAAATTGCCATTAGCACAAATAACACTCCCACTATATTTAACTGAACTATCCACTTTTGACACTTTCACCTGCCCCTGAAGCCATATACAATACACTCATTTGAGTGTTTGAAGAAATTTAGAATCAAATTGTACAAAATTCCACATGTTAACTGGGTATAAAACCAGCACTGAATGTAATGAAATGTCATTTTCTGGGTGAGCCATGGAGGCTCCCTGGAACTATCAGGCTGATATATGTTAGTCTGGGGCAGCGATTAATTGAAGTTTAGCCTACCGGTGACCATAAGCCAGAACCTGGCCCCCTCTGAAAGGCAAAGGGAGCAATGGCCTATAGAAACCCCCCCCCCCCATGTGGTTGGGGGCATTCCATATTTGCCATGGACCGGGATTGGCACCCAGAAAGGTAGGTTCATAACAAAATAAACCCCACCTGGTAAGAAAGAGCAACTGAAAACCGAGCAGGGAGGCAGAACTCACCCTTCAACTTAAAGAAACAAGTAAACGTTACACCTGACTGCCACACCGCGCAGCTTCCCCTCCCCTGGGAAGGGGAGCGGGAGGGGGTAGCCCCCGGACTCCCCCCCCCCCCGGCTACCCCAAGCCATCCAGTTCAGAGTCTGAGCACCAAAAAGGAAACTGAACCGCCAATTGAAGGGAGGGAAAGTTGCCAGGAAGCCTCCGGGGCTCACTCAGAAAATGGTGTTTCATTACTTTCAATGCTGGTTTTCTGTGGGGAGCTCCTACAGCTCCCTGGTGCTACATCACCAAAGAGAAGGAATTAGGGACTTACTCGGGAGGTGAACACCACTCGCTCCTCAACTCAGAGTCGATACAACTGGCTGCAACCTGCGACCCAAAACCACAAATGGACGACTAGGACCAGGAACGTTGACAAGATAACGCACGGCCAGGACCCTGTTCAACCTCCAAAATAAAAAAAACTCGGACTAAAAAAAAAAAAAAAAAAAAAAAAAAACCGCCTGAATGTCGGCCCAGAACATATTGCCAAAGACAACAGTCAAAGCAGCAAACTTACGAATGTCGTGGGCACGAGGATAGACCGCAGGCTGGCTAGACTTAATGACCCAGCGGATGACCTGAGAGTAAATAGGTTGAACACGTAGAGAGTAATGACATAATAGAGGACACAGTATGGTTTTCGAACGGAAGATCCTGTGTAACAAATCTACTTAGCATTTATGATAAGAGCCAGATACTACAGGAATGAGATGGTTGGGTTGACTGTATCTATCTGGACCTAAAAGGCTTTTGATAGAGTCCCACACAAGAGGCTGTACTGGAAACTGAAACATAGTAGAGGGGGCAACAGGGAGACCTCTGACATGGATGAAAAATTTTCTGACAGACAGATGAAGGCAGTAATCAGAGACAATGTATCTGACTGGAAGAGTGTCACTAGCGGAGTACCACAGGATTCAGTTCTTGCACTACTAATATTCATTGTCTACATAAACGATTTACTTGAAGGAATACAGAATTATATGAACATGTTTGGGAATGATGCTAAGATACTGGGGAAGATGGAGACGCAGACAATTGTAATGCCTTTCAAGTTGATCTAGATAAAATAACTGCTTGGAGCGTCAAGTGGGAAATGGAATTCAATGTGAATAAATACCATGTTATGGAATGTGGAATTGGAGAAAATAGACCACACACAACTTACAAATTATATGGAAAGGAATTACAGAACTCTAATAAAGAATGAGACCGAGGCATGTTTTGGATAGTAAGCTGTTGCCAGAGGTACACAAAGAACATTGTGAGAGAAGCATATGCCTCGCTTTCCAACGTCAAACTTGCTTTTAATTATATGGATAGTGAAATACTAAAGAAAGTGTTCATAACTTTCGTGAGGCCAAAATTGGAACATGCAGCAGTTGTATGGAGCCCACACCTCAAGAAGCAAATAAATAAACTGGAAAAGATGCAACGGCATGCTACAAAATGGCTTCCGAAACTGAAAAACAAGTTACGAGGAGAAACTAGAGGCGTTAACCCTTAAACTCCTAACTGTTAATAGTTGACATCCTCCAATGTGCTCAAGAAGAAAATTGTTCTGAAAAAATTTTATGTTCTTATGATATTGTTAATTAGCCTTCAGGAAGCACAAAAATCCAATTAAAAAGTCTCCAGCTCTTGTGGTTTTGCTGTAGTGGCCTGGAGAAGTTGCATATTTTTAGTTGAGGTGCCGCATAGCAATAACTTTGTTGATTTATTTCCATTGTTTCTCACTTTATTTATTGAGTTTTTTCATGCTAACAGGTTGTATTTGTATATTAAAGGTACTGTCTATTATATATAACTTTGAAAATATAAGTAAGTATAGATATACGAGTATAGATATACAGTATAGACACCCACATACATATTCATAATAATATATGTATATATATTATAAGACTAAATCTTAAGCACACATTTTACCTCAAATATATGTATGGTAATCACTCATTTGCTGTTGCTAAGTTTAGTGTCTCCTCCATGGCTGCCCTAAATGTTCAGACACTGGATGGTGATGTTGCTAAGCAATGGTCATCACTTTCTTACTAATGCCCTAGAAGGAAAATGAGGGACTCGGGATTTTTTTTCAAGATGGGGGATGATTACTGGTGGCCCGAGGAAGCAAATGTGAACTCTATGTATGCACAGGACTATTTTAAATATTTTAAATATGCAAATCATATATGTATGCCAAGCGCATGGTGGGACATGTTACTCCTGTCGTATATGTATGCCATGCGCAGCTTAAGGGTTAAACATGCCAAAACTAGTAGATAGATAGATGAGAGGTGATATGATCACCACTAACAAAATATTAACAGGAATTGACCAAATTGATAAAGAGGAATTCCTGAAACCAGCAACTTCACAAATAAGAGGACACAGATTCAAGCTAAGAAAACAGAGGTGCCAAAAAACACTGGAAAATTTTCTCTTCCAAACAGAGTGGTAGATGGTTGGATTAAACTAAGTGAGATGGTAGTGGAGGCCAGAACTGTCAGTAGTTTCAAAGCGTTATACGACAAAGAGTACTGTATTGGGAAGACACCACAATCGTAGCTCATTCTGTAACTACATTTAGGTAATTACATGCACACGCATGCACACAAACACACTGTAAAGTAGTGAACTAATATTTAACACAGTTCAAAATGCATACTTCCATATCAGAGTCCGTTATAGAGTAATCTTGTACGAGCTTGCCAATCAAAGTTTGTAAACGTGAGGACAAATTAGCTAGAGCCACTGCTGCACCGGACACTTCAGCCCCTTGACACACCATCATGTCACGGGTTCGAGACTGCATTGAATTCAACTCTGACTGAAGCATCATGTACTTATTCCTGGAAATACAGAAATTGTAATAATAATTAATAATAATTCATTGAGTCGGGGGACAGGAAACTAGAGTGTATTCATACATGTTAGGCCAAGGTACTCCCACCCAAGGTCGAATTAATAACCCCACCCAGGATGCAACCCCACAAAAAGCTGACTAACTCCTGAGTACCTACTTACTGCTAGGTGAACAGAGGCATTAGGTGAACGGAAATGTGCCCAACCATTTCTGTCCCATCCGGGATTCGAACCCAGAATTCTCAATTGTGTGTCAAGAATAAACCCGACTATTACAGGGACCCACTGGTTCTGGTATTATACAAAGTGACATCAATACCAATTCTTCTTTATACAAACTATAAATTTTATTCACATGAGGGCAATGTTAAAAAGTTATCACTGGACTAGTATATCTATAAATACAATGATGATACTGTAATGAGTATAGAGGAGCAATGATCATGGGGTGTTATAATGAGTACGTGTCAATGTATGAGGACCGATTAATGTAACGAGTGGCAAAGATGGCAGGGGTGTATCCAGGTTCTTCAGTTAGGTGGAGCAAATGAAAAGTAATAATAAAAGAAAACAAAAAATATATATACAGTGATACCTCAGCTTACAAATTTAATTTGTTCTCAGAGATGGTTTGTGAGCCGAAAATTCGCATGAACCTAATTTTCCCATAAGAAATAATGTAAATTGAATTAATCTGTTCCACCCTCTCAAAAAGATTAACTTCAAAATAAGTTTCACACCCAAATATTTAGTACTATAGTATGTACAAGTTATTGCTTACCTTTATTGACAACTCTTGTTGGCGTATGGAAGATGGGGGGGGGGGGGGAGGGGAAAGAGGAGAGGTGTTACTGTTTGGAAGGGGAGTCCCCTTGCATTATAACATCAGGCAGTGATGACTTCTCTGTGGTACTCTCTACTGTACCAAACCAAAACGTACAAAACGTACCAAACGTACTGGTACGTTTTGCCTGCATACCACTAGGACCTGCTTGTGGCTGACTGCTTGATTTTCCTCACTAAAAACCTTTCCATAAAGACTTGTTTTTCCCTACGTTGTAATACTTGTCTGTAATGAGGCATCACAGTGTCATTAAAAGGTTAAGGCAACTGTCTTCTACAGCTTGCTCTGAGCGAGTCGTTTCAACAAAAGTTTGCATTTCTTCCCATAGTTTACACCACTTAATTGTTGAGGAAGGGCCATTCTGTACTGCCTCCTTCCCTGAAGAAATTTCCTCAGCTGTCTCTTGTTGCTGCTCCTTGTGAAGGGCTAGGATTTCTAGGACAGTTCTTCGCTGTGTTCCTCCAACAACTCAACACACAACACTGTGAATGCCACTTCTTTTTCTAAATTTCTCTAACCATTCCCTGCTCGCTTTAAGCACTTTTGTATCTACATCACTTGTTCCAGGGGTTTTCTTTAAAAGGTCTTCATGCAATAGCCTTGTTTTAATCTATAAGAATCTATTGGCAATCATTAAAATTGCACCAAGTAGTGTCAAGCTAGTCCTCAGTTTTGCAGTCAATACCAGGTCACCTGACCTGGTCTTATGCCCTGCAGTAATGTTAGCAAAAGGCTGGAGTTCCAAACGAATTTACTAACCCTGTCCAAATCAAAAAGATTTTTTAATGTTATGTTCAAAGTGAAAGTGATAAGGTCATGCACAAAAGGAAAGCAATAAGTAAGGCTAAAGTGAAGTGATGATGCAGTGTGAGTGAGATACAAGAAGAGGTGTGAAGAAACTTAGAACTTTTCTAAACAGCTGCTACTGGAGCTATGAGAATCTTAAAGGAAAATTAATAATGATATAATGATGAGTGCTTGTGTAGTTATCTTGGGGTTATCTTTAGATGATTTCGGGGCTTTAGTGTCCCCGCGGCCCGGTCCTCGACCAGGCCTCCACCTCCAGGAAGCAGCCCGTGACAGCTGACTAACTCCCAGGTATCTATTTACTACTAGGTAACAGGAGCATGAGGGTGAAAGAAACTCTGCCCATTGTTTTTCGCCGGCGCCCGGGATCGAACCCGGAACCACAGGATCACGCGTCCAGTGTTCTGTCCGCTCAGTCACCGGCTCCCCCTAGTGAAGCGTGGCTTAGGCACATTTTAAAGCCCCCATGGTTTAACGCGTAAATAATTAGTGGGGAGATGGAGTCTGCTGTTGCATACAAAAATGATGACATTTCAAGAGACCGTGCAAGACATGAAATTATCTGTAAAAGTTTTCAATTCACCAAAATCGAATACAAAACTATCTTAAATATAATAACATCTATAAAATAACTGAAGTAATTCATGTCATTTATTATTTTTTGGTACATGCACACACATCATTATTAACCCATTTCCTGCTTTTAGTTGGGGAGCGGGCTATAAAAGATGAATGTACTGTACAGTAAAAGATTATTGGTGATAAACAACCACTATTACACAATTTTAATAATTACAATAGAATATTACCCAATTCCCCTAAAAACCCTAGGTTATTCTAATTACCTTAGTTTCTAGATGCCTATATGTAATGTAAATAACTCATTCTAATCCTTGATTGAAACTAAAATGAAAGTTAAGAGTAATTATCTTAACACAATTTAATCAAAAGAGGAACTTTTAAAACTTAAAAGTTACACCTACCTCCTTTCTTCTGCTAGCCGCACCATATGCCTTGCTTCTTCATCTTTTTCCTTTAGCTTTGCTGACAGCTGCTTGCATTCTGCTCTTAATTTTGCAAGCTGAAATTACCAAGACTGTATTTGAAAAAAAAAAATGTGCTTTTGTACATAATATTAGTATTTTTCATGTCTGGGTGGGATTTCAATCACATTACCGAACACGACTACATATCCGATCACAACTGGAATTGAGGTATTTAGATGGGAGAATGTCACGTACAGTATATAGAAAATCAAAATGGATGAAAGTGAACAATTTAAAATTGTGTACAGATTACATACCTCAGTCTCAGCTTCACGTAAGCATTCTGCAAGAGCATTTTTCTCTTCAGCCATGAAATCAGCAATCTCTCGGCCTTCATTTTCTAAATCTTGAACTTGCTGCAGGAGCGTCTTCTGGGCTGCAACGCTCTTGTCCAAGTCCTATGAGGAATTGCGTGTTAATGCTTAGATTGTAACTTTATACCACTTTAACCCCCTGCACTGTGTAGGTATTTCAGATGACAACTCTGGCGTGCATAAGAGAGAGAGATTTAAAAAATGTTACTTTGGCTGTGGAGAGAAGTAATCTCGCAATGACATCACCGAATCACGAGCATTGATGGATGAGAAGTCATGAGGTCAGTGTGCAGTGGGGGTCTGTCTTGAATATATTTGTATTGATTTATTTAACTTTTTTGCAGTTACATTATTCAACTGTACTGTGTAATTGAGAAATTTCCGTAATAAAACATGTAGAACGTTAATACAGTACACACAAATATATTTTTCACTAATATACGAACTTTGGACAATAAAACATACCGATTTTGCTATCATCACACTATATATACATTATACTGTAAAACATATCTGCATATTTATGCATCATAAGCATGCATAACCAGAACTAAGCAATTCTGGTGAGTGTAATAATCACTTAACCATTGATATAAGCTCAGTCTAGTTCTGCACACTTTGCACCATGTTGTAAGTACAGGCATTGAAGACTTGAGAATGGTCCAGGACGGACCGAAACGTCGTCGTCGCTTCACTTTCTAGTGTGTGGTCTGGTCAACAATACAGGCATTGAATATTCTTGACTTTCTTTGTATTTTTCATGCTTTTACTATGGTTTTTCAAGTACAATGATGCATTGGGCTATCAATAACATTATTTATAGCACAATGTGTAGAACATCAGTATGCACATATATAATAGTGTACCTAATATGTAAACCACTATTTAATATTAGAATAATGAAACATACCATTTTTGCCAATACCACATTATTTATACTGTAACAAACTACATATTTATGCACTATTTCGAATCACTAACCAGTTCTGGCGAGTGAGATAATCTTGTAACCATTGATACAAAGACAGCACAGCCACACAATCACTAGTTGCTGACAGCACCTGACAAAGCAAAGTGCTGCCCAATATACTATGAACATCAGTAACTCTAGCCAAAGCACATGTATTATTATGAGAATCCTGGTCACTAAATTCTGAATATGAATCATTTTTCACATATTCATTTTCTAAAGGGACATGAAGTCCCATTGCATGATGCACACAAACACCTAAACACAGCTGTGTGTTGTGGTCGTTTGTCTACTGCTGTGAACACCACAACCTAAATTAGGTTCAATGATGTCTGAACCTTGAATATAGTCTTTTCATTGTCAGGGTCTTCTATGTCACTATCGTTGATAAATACTTGCAATTACAGTACGTGTACTTATTTATTTCATCGCCATTAAGTGCTATGGGTGCAAGCTGCATGGCAGTGCTGTGAGCTACTGCTGCATGCACTATTCATGGCTGGTGTAATTATCCAAATGTAAACTTAGAAGTCTGTTTACTGGCTGAAGAAGCAGATGTGAGCCTATGGGAGTTCTTGCTCTTATGCAAGACCTAAAATCATACCTGGTTAACAGGCACACCACCGATGAAATGACCCTAATTGATACATACAGTTTAAAGATTAAGGGATTAAGATTAAGGTTTAAAGATTAACACTGGCTTCTCAGATGTAAAATATCAAGCAAATCAAAATTCAATAAGGTGTGTGTAAAAATTCCATTGAACTGTGGCAACACAGCCACAAAAATTTCCTCAGTATGATTAATAATCATAAATGTATGGGTTACTTCCAACACCCTCCTGATATTGCATCATGCCACTGCCTATACATGGACCAATACTGTCCCTGTTTACTTGTTATAAATCACATTTTCATATGTAAACTTCAAGTAAGCATTTACATATTATAGTGGTCATTGGCAGCTCTTACAGCATAACAGCAAGGGAGGAGAATGCCCCCTTTCAGTTACTACACGAGTGTTGGAGAGGAGGGTAACCTTTCGGTGCTCTACAGCAAGGTGTTGTAGCTATAAGATGTACCTTATATGTAATTTTCTTTCATATTTCACCATGCCTATCTCCTAGAGTTCTGAAACAATGGGAGAATGTAAAACATGCCCATTTTGAAAAAATATGCCACCACCAACCCGTCCTCTCAAAATAACGTCGCTTTTCGCTCGTATGCGCGCTATGGCCAAAAACGGACGTAATTTGTAATTAAATCGGCTCATGAAAGTGACGTACTGTCCCATTTTCTGTTGATGTCCTCCAGCTTACTCGGTTAGGTTAGGAGAGGAAACTTTCAGTTAACAGTTTTCATGACATTTTGAAACCTTAGGAGAACTTCCTGCCCTCCTAACTTATCAGAGAACCCTTAACGTGTAGTTTTGGAAGAAAAAAATATAAATTTATTATCAATTAATTTTTCATTTTCAAATTACATCCATTTTCGGCCATATGGGCAAATAGCCAAATTCAAGCGTAGGACAGGTTGAGGTGCCAGCAAACAAAGCAGCGCAGCCACAACCTCTCTCTCTCACATCTGGCCCCAAAGAGTGAATTTGTGTACCCCTGAACACCAGGTGAGCAACTTGGACCTATATTGGCTTACCTAATAAGCTCACTGGGGGCATCCCTGGCCATATAAATACTGACAAGTATCTGGCAAAAATGGACAAGAAAATACAGCAACCCACCCGTCAGACCACCAAGCCAAAACCACTTCACGATGGGTCAGATATTAGCTATCGAGCCGGCACCTATCAGAATCCCATGAAGCACCACCTGGAGAACAAACATTGCACACCTATTAAAGAGTATGTTCTATTATGGTATTTTGTCATTAGATCTTAAATAAATGCAGTGGCCAATGTTGTTACAGATTCACGTACTTGGAATAAAAGTTCCAAGGTGTACGGGCTATAGTGAGTCCGTAGTGGACCTCTACCTGTACTTGTGCCTTTTCTAAACCCCCACCCCATTTTATAATTTTTTCCCCATTGTTTCTTGTGTGATTGGCATGAGATTTCAACACTTTAGAGGACCTACCACAATCAATAAACATGTGAAGTTTGAAAGAAATGTGTCGACAGCTATTTCACCCACATACGAACCCCGAGCACTGTATACTCGGCCATCAGGTCCCTAATACCCAATTAACTATCATGAGTTATTCAGGTTCACCAGCAAGATTTGTTATCAATATACTGTATGCGATTCAAAATTTTCTTCGATTGTTTCATAAACAACCTACTCAACAGATGCACTTCCTGCTAACTTTAGAATCATACAGCAAAAATTAGAACGTTCCAGGATATTTCAATAAAAAAAATTATGACATGCCAGTAAAATAACATCATAAAGTTTCAAGTTTTAGGGCTCTGCATCTTACCCTTTTGATCTTCAACGTGTAGTCTTCATACTGGTTGAGCTTTTCTTGCATTTGTACATTTACATCAGCTGACTGATGTAGTTGAGATTCCAGCTCCATCAAACTGTCACCTCTGCTATTGAATTCTGGAATAAAAATATAAATAATGTACAGTATAGTATTTGTAATACTGTACAACAAAATCTGACCTAATAGTCACTAAAAATTAAATAAACTGAAGAAACATTTAACATGCACATTGCTAAGTAAATAAATTTATATTGTAGCTGGATGGGGTTCTGGGAGTTCTTTTACTTCCCAAGCCCGGCCCTAGGCCAGGCTTGACTTGTGAGAGAGAGAGAGAGAGAGAGAGAGAGAGAGAGAGAGAGAGAGAGAGAGAGAGAGAGAGAGAGAGAGAGAGAGAGAGAGAATAAAGAGAGCAACACAAATATGAAAATCAGCATCACCACACAACAGCCAAATCGTAGCAGTGTTTCAGAAGCTTCCTAAGCAGTCTTAAAGTGCTACTCACAATAAAAAAAAAATGCCAAATGTACATCCCTCTTAATAAACTACTTCTCCTCAACCACTAACATATAACATCTCCAGTTACACACAGTCATTCTGTACCCTATATTACACACAAAACCATGTTTACACATGGCCTCGTGGCTGAGTGGACAGCGTTTGGGTGTTGCAGTCCTTAGGGCCCGGGTTCGATTGTGTGTTAGAGAAATATATGTAGTAGATATAATATAGAAAAAATATATGGTTAGAAAGGTGGGGTTCAAGAGCTAATATCTCGATTCTGCAGATACAAACTGTAAATACATAGCAAATGGTTTTTTAAAAAGAGGAACAAACTCGAAAAAGCACTTTTTGCACGGGCAGTAAGTTTGGCTTAACACGACTGACAAACGGAATAGAAATTCAATGTCAACAGTGTAAGCTTAGGTATTATGTTAACATCACATGTAGATACAGTTGATAGATGCATTATTTACTTCACCTTTATTGTCCATAATTCTAATCACTGATGTTTGACACACCTCTAAGAAAAACAAATATATTTAATATTAAGGCAACTAATAAGAAAATTTTGAAAATTTTTTAAAAGCATTTAATAGTTTTTGACACACAAGACACACTTTGAGAAGTAGTACTGTATTTGTAATTAAATAAGGATAGTTCAATTAATAACTCAAAATAAGCACTGTTCAGAAATTAGAAAATGATAACTAACTCCAAAAAATACTAACCATACTCCACTCCTTCCATGGAGACGAGCATATCCTTCACGCGCTGTGAAGTCCTGTCCAACTCGCCCTGAACTTCCTCCTTCTCAGAACGCTCCTCTTCAAGAGCAGACTTTACCTTCTCCAGCTCCTCGCGTATGCTCTCCATCTCCTCGAGGCGGGACCTGGCACGGGCGTGTTCAGTCTGCAGCCTGGTATGCTCCTCGGTGAGGCGCCGCACGTGTTCTGGGAGTTCCCCATCACCAAGGCGCCAGGCTAGCTCAACCTATTGATTTGAACAAGGGAAGGCTTGACAGGTGTGCACTGACTCATTCTACCTCTTGTTTTCACAAACAGTGTGTGTGTGTGTGTGTGTACTCCCCTAGCCTGCAGGATCAAGCTCTAGCTCTTGGACCCCACTTTTCTAGCAACTGGTTGTCTAATGCAATGACTCCCAACTTATTTCCCTGTCATACCTGATTTTAAAGTTATGACTGGAGTTTGTCTCTACAACCTGCTCCTTTAGGACATTCCATTTACTTACTACCCTTACACTAGAAGAAAACTTTTAACATCACCAAGACACCAGAGTCTCAAGCTACTATCCATGCCCCTTGTTCTATTGGTACAGTATTCATTGTAAACATTTCCTACTTCCATCCTGTCAATCCCTCTAGGTATTTTACATGTCTGAATCATATCCCTCTTCTCAATCATCATCAGGTTTAGTTCTTTCAAGTGAACTTCAAGGACTACTAATTACCTTCAAGGGACCTCTCACTGTTCCCTTGAAGGGTGGTTAGTAGGCCAGGCTGCTAACATAGCATAGCAGCCTAAACTAAATACACGGATTATTCCTCAATACAAACACAAGCACAACTAGTCCTAGGTTAGTAAAGCAAACAGTCAATAAAATATGTTAGTATTAGGAGCAAACTAGTTTAAAAATAAATATTTGAGAATATACAAAATTTGTCCTTGCTTATTAGACCTAGTAATGTGGTTCTGGGTATTATGTACTGTATATGTATGTATATTGTAAATATTGAGAGGAGAGAGTATGCAAGCAAGAAAATGGCCGAGAGAGGAGGGGGGGGGAGATAAGTCCCTAATAATCCTACAATATATAATTTTTAATCAGTATTTTTGAGCCCACTATTATATAACACTAAACGATCACTTTAGATTACCTGAACCTCGACGTGTCTTTTATCCGACAGATTTTCTGGTGTTGTTATCTCTCTTATGATTGAAACATGAGGTCTGGTCTCCACCTGACCCTCCTCGTTGTCTTCCTCTGTCCCAAGGGAGTTTTGCCGTGACAGAGCCCTCAGAGCCGAGACAAGATCTCCACCTGTCAATGAAGTTTGAACGCCAATTTCCATGCATATAATTGTTCGTTCTTTCCGTGTATTTAAGGTGGAGGTTGACGTAGATTTGGCTTCTCGGTGGACCGCTTGAGGACTTCGTGGTCTGCCAAGGTTTGCTAAGGCAGGGGCGGGCAGACTCGTCGTCATGACTGATGTCCGTCCCCGAGGAGCACTACTGCTGTTTGCTTCTGATTTACCAACTGACTTTGTGCGCCTCAAGGAAGGCCTCGATGCCTCTTCTTCTGCAGCCATTTGTTCTCGCCATCTGGCACTTATTTCGCGGGCTTTTCGCCTTGGGAGTGTGGCATACATATCAAGAGTATTTTTAGTGTCTTTGGACAAGGGTTTATCCCTGCATTCATCTTTAATGTCACTGCTCTCCTTTGCTTTCTTACGCCTACCTAATGTACCATATTTTTCGGCAACCTCATCTTTCTCGGCTTTAACATCTTTCTTTCTTCGACCTATTGTACAGGTATTATATTTTGAGTCGGTATCATGCTTAATATCTTTGGTATCGGTTTTCTTTTTGCGTCCCAGAGTGCTACTCTTGTCATCCATGTGATCTTTATCAGCCGTCCTGGTACGACTAAGACCAAACGACTTATCAGTGTCCCTTTTGGATACAGAATCTTGCGCTCTAGTACAATGTTTTCGTTCTGAAACTGTGTTACCACTGCGTCCCGAGCTCCTTTGTGTTTTCTTTTCTTCGCCTTTGGCTTTATCTACCCCACGTGCAGTTGAGCGCATGGCTGATGCCTTAGGAGTGCTTCCCCTACTATTGTCACTCCTTGGAGATGATACACCACTTGTTTTACGTCGCCTTTCTGGAGTGCGTGGTGAGTCTGTGGAGGTGCGGGGTGAGCTACGGCCTGACGATCCCCGTGGCGAGGTGGGAGATGTCCGAGTAGGCGTTCCAGTGACCCGTGTCGTATCTCTGTTAGAGGGACGAGTAGGCGGGGTTTTAACAAGCACTGGGCTCGAGGCCTCTGGCGGAGGAGAATTATCACCGATTGGTACAGCCACCACAGTATCAAAGGTGTCAGTGCGGGAGGACAATGTGCTATCATCCAAAGAGTTATTTGAAATCATCGATGAAGTGAGAGAAACATGACTGAGAGATCCAGGCTCACTAGACATGATCATACTAGCTTCCTCGAGAGCTTCAGCCTCCACCTCCTCCTTCACGGCATCAAGTGGCAACCGCAGAGCCTCATCATGGTAGTTGATCAATAGGGAGGTGGTTGGCGTGGGACCAGTTGGAGACAGGAGGTCAGGAGAGGTTACCTCACCATCAGGCGACACACAGTGGGACAGCATCTGCTCCAGTGTGCAAGGCCGAGAGTACGCATCCTCTCCATACCTTAAGTCCCCACTCAATACAATATCATCGTCCTCATCCCCTGTAAAGATAAGGAAAACCCATTATAGAGAAATGCAATTAACCAATAAATCTTCCTTTGAGCACACTGCCACACCAAATATTGGTCAACTGCTGAGAATGCCAGAAAGGCTCACGTCCTAACTATGATTACCGCATCTGCAGGTACCTGCTTGATGGGGTGGGGTTCTGGGAGGTAACTCTCGCCTCCCAGAGACTAGAGTTACACAATCTGACCTTTAATCCTAATGCTACAATCCTAACACAGTTCCAACAAGGTCTTCACCAGTGAAATATTATTACTCGACAGTTACTGGCATTTCATAACCCTTACTGTATATCCAGCAAACTATTTTTGCTAGAGATGTGCACATATTTCCATACACACTAACATAGGTATTAGTTTCAATACCCTAGTAGTATCCCCAGTACATCAGCAGCACCACCACTCTCCTCCCTTCCCCCAAGAACCAGCAGCACCACCATCCTCCCCCCCATAGCAGCAGTAGCACTGTCATTCTCCTCCCCCCCCCTCCAACAGCACCAGCAGCACTGCCACTTTCCTTCCCACCCCCCTTAGAAGCAGCACTGCCACTCTCCCTCTTCCCCAGCAGCAGTAGCACCGGCACTCCCCTCTCCCCCAGCAGCAGTAGCACCGGCACTCCCCCCCCCCCACCCGCAGCAGCACCTCCACTCTCCGCCCCCCCCCCTTAGCAGCAGCACTGCCACTCTCCCCCTCCCCCATCAGCAGTAGCACCGCCACTCTCCACTCCCCCCCCTTAGCATCAGCAACGGCAGCAGCACCAGCACTCCCCCCTACCCTAGTAGCCAGAATGCAGTAGTCGGCCTACTATGCAAGAGCTGATTTGCCTAATAAGCCAGGTTTTCAGGAATTTATATATTTTTCTATTTTTTTCTTGTGATGAGTGAGATTTTTCTTGAGAGAGTGAGTGAGACAGTGAGTGTGTGAGAGTGTGTGAGTGTGAGAGTGTGTGAGAGTGTGAGAGTGTGTGAGAGAGTGTGAGAGTGTGTGAGAGAGAGTGTGAGTGTGTGAGAGAGTGTGTGAGAGTGTGAGAGAGTGTGAGAGAGTGTGTGTGAGAGAGAGAGAGAGAGAGAGAGAGAGAGAGAGAGAGAGAGAGAGAGAGAGAGAGAGAGAGTGAGAGAGTGAGAGAGAGAGAGTGAGAGAGGGTGAGAGAGGGTGTGAGAGAGTGAGAGAGGGTGAGAGAGTGAGAGAGGGTGAGAGAGGGTGAGAGAGTGTGAGAGAGAGAGAGTGAGTGAGTGAGTGAGTGAGTGAGTGAGTGAGTGAGTGAGTGAGTGAGTGAGTGAGAGTGAGTGTGTGTGTGTGTGTGTGTGTGTGTGTGTGTGTGTGTGTGTGTGTGTGTGTGTGTGTGTGTGTGTGTGTGTGTGTGTGTGTGTGTGTGTGTGTGTGTGTGTGTGTGTGTGTGTGTGTGTGTGTGTGTGTGTGTGTGTGTGTGTGTGTGTGTGTGTGTGTGTGTGTGTGTGTGTGTGTGTGTGTGTGTGTGTGTGTGTGTGTGTGTGTGTGTGTGTGTGTGTGTGTGTGTGTGTGTGTGTGTGTGTGTGTGTGTGTGTGTGTGTGTGTGTGTGTGTGTGTGTGTGTGTGTGTGTGTGTGTGTGTGTGTGTGTGTGTGTGTGTGTGTGTGTGTGTGTGTGTGTGTGTGTGTGTGTGTGTGTGTGTGTGTGTGTGTGTGTGTGTGTGTGTGTGTGTGTGTGTGTGTGTGTGTGTGTGTGTGTGTGTGTGTGTGTGTGTGTGTGTGTGTGGGGGGGGGGGGGGGGGGGGGGGGGGTGTAGAGTAGAGTACCACAGGGCTCCCTATCCTCCTGGTGGGTGTCGCCACCTGCCCGGCTCTTACTGCATTAGTCCCTGCTGATTTGTTGGTTTTCTTTCTATCCAGCTATTAGCTCCTGCAGCAAATGTTTTGTCTGGTCTTGTTCCCCACTTGCAAATCACATTGTCTACAATGTTTAGTGGTGGTGGTAAAAATATACTATGTACACACAGAAATCACAATAGCGTGATGCATCAAATGAACAAATCCACAAGGGTATTCTCATCAGGGTTCGACTTACGCCCGGGATGATCGCCGAGTCAGGCAGCGTCTGGCCGTCTAAGGCAGCTTGTGGTATCATCCCGGCCGTCAGTTCGAACCCTCATCACGGCCCTTGTGGATTTATTCGGTATACTATGTACTCGCCAAGTGTATATTGTCCTGTGTGAAGCAGAGCTATAGGTCTAGCTGCCTCCTGGAGGAAGTGCCCGCCTTTCCACTTAACATCTCAAGCTGCAGACTACGAAACTTTCAACCCATAATTCTTAAGTTTTCTTCAAGTTAAAATCACAACTGTCTGTGATTAAGACAAAAATTCAGATCCACACACACACAACTGCTTCAGTGACGATACATCACGCACATTCCCCCGGATTCTAAATGCAAAACAGAACCTTTACCTCAGATTCATCCTTAGTAAAGCTAAACACCACATACCTTCCTACCTGCAGCGGTTCCCAGAGTTCTTCTACAAATAATTATAAATTATTGGTTTTATAATGAGGGGGTGGCACCTCCACCTGCACCCACCAGCAGACACAACACTAACAACTACAGCGGGTAGACAATCTTGCCTCAAGCCACCTCTCATAATTAAAATGCATCAAATTATTATAATATTCTATCAACATTTTAATAGTAAATATTATATCTATCATGTCATAGTTGATATATAGTTGAATAGAATATATATATATATATATATATATATATAAAATTTGAACTTTTAACTAAAGAACGCATTAATAACCAATAACAATAATGGTGCTATAAGACGTATCCTCCTAACGTCCTTATAATGTTGCCAGTACTGAAGAAGTTATGTGTGCGCCTAGGTGGTCTGGGGGGATGCAGGGTGGACCCCACTAAGGCCTCCATACCAAACACAGGAGGAGGAGGTGCAGGAAAAGCTCAACCCCAGGAGTGGGTGTCGGGCGGGCGGGCGGCTGGTGAAGGCGGCGACGACGGGGTGACTTACCAACGAAGACTTCAGACTCTGCGAGGTCGTCGAGGGCGGGGAGGGAGGAGGCGGGCGCGAGGCGGGCCAGGTTGTCTGCTGAGCGCGGGCGGAAGAGGTTCACGCCTCCTCCCCCGCCGCTCACCACCATGCTCTCCCCCAGCATCACTCACCCACCATCTCCTGCAAACAACACTCACCATTACTCACAATATCACACACATTAATACACCTATTTTGCTCCTGTCACATGCGACTAGTACACGCAGTCTATATACCTCCATAAACTATTTTGCTGCAACTCGTTCTCGCACTTGCGTATAGTCAATATTGGCTTATTTAATAAGTGCATATGTGACATACTAATTGATACGTGTCTAAGATTTGGATACGTGTCTAAGATTTCTGGCAGTACATCATTATAAGTGGAGTACTTGTACCCATTCCTTGAACACCAGTACTTGCAGCTGAGCCTAAGCCTACTACAGTAGTGGTAACGTCCCGGAGTGAGGTTCAGCGTCACATGGAATGGCAGTTTTTTTATTATTATTATTTTCTACCACAGACGTGGCCACATATTTACATTGCTAACCATACATTTATACATTTACTTCTGTCCTCCATGGACAGGGTTAGAGATCTGTTAAACACAGTCCAGTGATTTATTGAACAATCAACCACAGAAAGTGATTGTAGGGCTTTTAAAATGCTAATCTAACATACATATACACATTATATATGTGTGTAAATCACGAAATTAACACGTGATGAAAAATGTGACAATGTCAGACCACAGAAGAAGAATTGAAACCGGAATTCCCTTAAGTACTTTCGTATATCAATAGATATTTCTATAATTTATATAACATATATATATATATATAATTATATTAACCAGCATATATATACATATATATATATATATATATATATATATATATATATATATATATAAATTACACCGATTACAGGTGTATTTGTGGCGAGGCAATGGCCTTCTCTGCCAAAGGACAGGAGGATGGCATGCAAGACACGGCGAGATTAACGACATTATCAAGAGAAGCCTTACCACGGCCGGTTGTCCAGCAGAGAGCGAGCCCCCTTACCTAATGCCCCACAACTCTGATGAGCCTGTCGGTCGCCCAGACGGAATCACGGTGAACCCCTGGAAGAATGGTAGACAGTTGGTGTGGGACTACACTTGCGTTTCAACTTTAGCCAATACCTATGTTAACTTCAGTGCTACACAAGCAGGAGGTGGTGCCAATCACCGGGAAGCGGCCAAGTCACGTAAATACGGAGACCTGGATTACCACTACAATTTTTGTCCCCATTGCCTCAGACACAGTTGGTGCCTGGGGTAAAAGTGCTGCAAGTTTTTTGAAGGAGCTGGGGTCCAAGCTAATTAAAACAACTAGAGACCCTAGAGCCGCCATTTTTCTCTTTCAGCGCCTTGGTGTGGCGAGCCTGAGAGGAAATGCTCACTGCATCCATGGTTCCTGCCCGCCATCTGAGGAGCTGGAGGAGCTATACAACTTGTGACAAGTAGTCTTGTACCTTGCATGTAACCAATGTTGTAACCCTTTTTGTGCAATGAAATTGTAAAATAAAGTTAGATATATATACACACAAACTAAACGAATATGGGTGGTAGAAGAAAATACCAGTGTTCAGTGAGGATCCACAAGGTCTTCCCTGAGTACTCTTCATTTTCTTCTCCGAGGCTATGGGTCCCTACACTTGCACCAGAGGTGGTACCCCTTTTAGGTGTGTGTGTATAACTATATATTATATATATATATATATATATATATATATTAATAATAATAATAATAATGAGGCGATAGCCTCGGCTATCACCTCATTTTGTCCGGTCGTGATGGTCAAGTGGATTAAGGCGTCTTGTACATACCAGTTGCGTTGCTCCTGGGAGTATGGGTTCGAGTCACATCTGGGGTGAGAGTTTTCAGTTGCATATTGTCCTGGGGACCATTCAGGCTTGTTCGCATATATATATATATATATATATATATATATATATATATATATATATATATATATATATACTGTATATATATGTTGTACCTAGTAGCCAGAACGTCGTACTCGGCCTACTATGCAAGGCCCGATTTGCCTAATAAGTCAAGCTTTCCTCTGAGTTTATGTATTATTCAATATTTTATTCTAATGAAATGATAAAGCTATCCATTTCATTATGTATTAGTTATTTTGTTTTAAATTTGAGTTAAAACTAACGTAGATATATGACCGAACCTAACCAGCCCTACCTAACCTATCTTAACCTAACCTAAAATAACACAAGTCAATAATTTATGTTCTTAATATAATATAATACAAATAATTAAAATAAACTAATTGGAAACATTTATTGAAAATAATAGAAATCTCTCGGCCTATTGGGCAAATTGGGCCTTGCATAGTAGGCCGAGAAGTGCGTTCTGGCTACTAGGTACGACATCAAAGTGTTCCAGTATTCATATAGTAGTTACAGAGTTCAGCATACCTCAGCCCAGGATGCCGACAGTCAGTCACTATGGGACATTCTACAATATAATGTTCAAGGAAGTGCACGTTTTCTCCTTAAAAAAGTTGACACATGGTGTATTCGACATCTGGGTCTTGAGAAAGGTGCCAAAGGCGGTGCGGAGCCTACAGCGGTCACCTTTCTAGAGTTCGTGACGGAAATTCCCGGCGGTCACGGCCAAGGTCGCGTGGTGGAGGCGCCCGTGGGAACCCGCCCCCAGCCCTCCTGTCTCCTGCCTCACCTGTGATATACTGTACCCACCTGCGGTATACTGTAGTACCCACCTGCCTCACCTGTGGTACCACGAGTAAGACCACTGTTCCCGGCCCCCCTCCCCCCCCCCCAGCACGTCACCTCACCCAAGGACACTTGTCTACTTCATAAAACCCGCCGTCAGTATAGATGTGTCATGGCATAACAACATTAGTAGTAAGAGCAGCAGCTTACTACTAGTGCTGCAGCAGCTGCAGCACCTGCAATAACAGCAGCATAAGTAACAATTGCAGTAGTAGTGACAGCAGCAGTGGGGAGGGGGGGGGTCTGGGAGAGCAGCAGCGGCAGCTTTCCAATTTTCTACCCCAGACGAGGCCATTCAGTTCAAATGCTAACCAGAATATACACATTTTCTTGGCACTTTACATAATGTGTAGTGAGTTATCATTGACACAAAGGGAGACTGAAGCACTTTTACAATGGAAAATTACAATTCTAACTTGCATATATATTAGTTTTCGTTTATTACAGTTGCCTGGAGCATACCTGGAGGGGGTTTCGGGAGTTCTTTTACTCCGAGTTCGGCCTGAGGCCAGGCTTGACTTGCGAGAGCTTGGTCCACCAGGCTGTTGCTTGGAGCGGCCCGCAGGCCCACATACCCATCACAGCCCGGGTGGTTGATTGTTCAATAAACCCTTGAACTATATGTTTAACACATCTCTAACCCTGTCCATGGAGGACAGAAGAAAATGTATATATGTTGGTTAGCATTGTAACTGTGTGGCCACGTCTGTGGTAGAAAATAATAATAATAAAAAAAACAGCCCGGTTGGTCCGTCACTTCTTGAAGAACACTATTTAGTTTTCTCTTGAAGATGTCCACGGTTGTTCCGGAAATATTTCTTATAGTCGCTGGTAGAACGTTGAACAACCATGAACCTCTGATCTTTAAACAGTGTTCTCTAGTTGTGCCTATGGCACCTCTGCTCTTCACTGGTTCTATTATGTGAATGCATGTGTGTGTATATATGCATGTATATATGTATATGTACGTATATATGTGTGTGTATGTATATGTATGTGTATAAAGTACATATGGAAGCTGGTCAGAATTGCATTTCACCTTTGTAAATGCACATTAATGACACTTCGAACACTTTATGTAGGGCATACGTAAATCTGTATATCTATGTATTTACCTATGTAGGTTAGCTTAGCATTTTAAAAGTACCGAATCACCTTCTGTGGTTGATTGTTCAATAAATCCCTGAACTATATGTTTAACACTTCTCTAATTCTGTCCATGGACCATGGAGGACAGAAGAAAATGTATACATGTTGTTTAGCATTGTAACTGTGTGGCCACGTCTGTGGTAGAAAATAATAATAATAATAAAAAAACTGGTTCTATTCTGCATTTTCTTCCATATCGTTCACTCCAGTATGTTGTTATTTTACTGTGTACGTTTGGGATCTGGCCCTCCAGTATTTTCCACGTGTATATTATTTGATCTCTCTCTCGTCTCCTTTCTAGTGAGTACATTTGGAGAGCTTTGAGACGATCCCAATAATTTAGGTGCTTTATCGCGTCTATGTATGTCGTATATGTTCTCTGTACTCCCTCTAGTTGATCTGCGGACTAGTAATGTCCGCAGTAGCGAAGTGGACAGTATTGGCAGGAGTACAGGGCTCTTTTGAGGGCCAAGGACGTCCTTGAGAGCGTGTGGAGGACACACAGGGTATCCTGTGAACACCGCCTCCCGGATCACAGCAGCACAAGGCCCTGGCAGTGCTCCACCCTCACGCTCTCCACCAGGGCCTCCGCACACCTTGTAATACACAACTTAAGCACTATAAACCCTTGTTCCAACACCCAGTTGAGTGGAGACTGGCAGAGTCGGGGGAATTACCGACAACAGTGAGAGGACTCTTACCCTCGCGCCATCAATCATCCTCAGGTGTAGAATTTCGTGTATACCACGTGATCACTTAATTTAGGTCAGATAATATAGCGAGACCTGTCAAAGAGACCTCTCTGTCATTTATATTCTAAGCTGTATCACTTATGAACCCATCCCTGCCCTTGTGTGGCAGTGCACAATAGAAAATTGTTTTCACATATCCACACATTAAAACATTGATTGTAACCATGATATATATGTGCTTCAGCCTACAGTTTAGACCTATTGTCTTATGTATGACCCTCTGTCCTGCGTGACAGTGAATACTAGCATTAACCTCAATTTAATAAGACTATCAAAATCCTCAGATTAGCCAAAATTGTAATTAATTTTGTCAATAAAGATGTTAATAATAATAAGTTCATTTAGCTGCTACGGGCTGTCAAAACACAAATAAAAAAGGAGGCCTGGTCGAGGACCGGGCCGCGGGAACGCTAAGCCCCCAAATCATCTCAAGATAACCT